GGCTTTCTGTAAACTTTTTTATTTTTTAAATATTTTTTTATGTTTAGGTAGAGAGAGGAGGGAGGGAGGAATGGAGGGAGGGAGAGAGAGAGAAAAACAGATAGAGAGAAACATTGAATTTTTTTGTTTGACTTATTTGTACATTCATTGGTTGATTCTTGTATGTGCCCTAACTAAAGATGGAACTCAAAACGTTGGTGTATTGGGATGATACTCTAACCAATTGAGCTACCCAATCAGGGCCTGCATACTTTTCTTTTAAACTTGAATTCATCTGAGTAATAGTTTCCAGATGCTACCACAACAAATCACCACACACTTGGTGTTTTAAACAATAGAAATTTATTGTGTCACAGTTCTAAAAGCCAAAAGTCAGAGATCACTATCTCTGGGGCAAAATCAAGATGGTAGCAGATCTGTGCTAACTCCAGAGGCTACCAGAAGAATTTGTGCCTTGCCTCTTTCTGTGCTTTGCTTCATCTAGCTTCTGGAGGCTGCAGGCATTCCTTGGCTTGTGGCGACATCAATCCAGTCTCTGCCTCTTTCTTCACAATACCCCTCCTCTATGTGTGTGAAGTCTCCCTCTGCCTCTCTATTAAGAACTCTGGTGGTGGCATTTAAGACCTACCCAATTTTCCAGGATAATCTCCCCATCTCAAGATTCTTAATGTAATCATATCTATAGTAACCCTTTTCTATATACGGTCATATTTACAGGCTCCAAGGATTGGGATGTGGATGTTTTGGAGATCCATTTTTAAGTCTTCTAGTCAGATTAACTCCAGAATAACTAAAGCTCAAGGCAAGACAGTCATATTATAGACAAGTTCTGGCTGGGAGTTTGGAAATAAGTGCAACTACCCAGGCCAAATTTTAATATCTATGAGTCTCAGTTTCTTTATTTATAAAAATAATGGCATACTTTTACAAAGTTGTTTCAGTAAAGTCTTGCATGTAAAAGTAATTTAAAATATTAAAATTTAGGGTCATATGGTATTAATCCATGCTAGTTCATTGAGAAAATGAAATTGAATACCTTACCAAGGGGCCGCTGGTTCAATTCTTTGTCAGGACACATGCCCAGGTTGTGGGCCAAATCCCCAGTGGGGGGCATGAAGGAGGAGGCCAGTCGATGTTCTCTCTCATCTATGTTTCTGTCTGTCTGTCTCTCTCTCTCCCTTCCTCTCTCTATAAAACCAATAAAGAAAAAAAAAAAGTGGGTCCAGGCCATAGGAGAAGTTAGCCTGGATTTTATCCCAAATGTTTGAGACAGTGTAGTATCATAGTTTGGAGTGTGTCCTCTGGTATCAGACTTCCTGGGTTTGAAGCCCTGCTTGATTGATTCTTACTGGCACAATCTTGGACGATTTGGGTACTGATATAAGAGTACACTCCCAGTACTATATCCAGGGATAATTTAATATAAAGAATTGTTGCCCTGGCCAGTTTGGCTCAGCGGTTGAGCATTGGTCTGCGGACCAGAGAATCCCGAGTTCGGTTCCAGCTAGGGGCATGTACCACACACACACACAAAAATAAATAAAAATGTAAGAATTGTTAACTAGAAGGGGGGTTAGTGTGAAAACGGGTAAACGTGTCTAAGGGGTACAGAAGGCATAGTATAGCCTCTGCCTCTTGGTTGAGGGAGAGGGGACAATAAAGGAACTAAAGACAAGGGGAGGATTCACCTTTTCAGATTCCGTTCTTTTCAGAGAAGCTGTGGCTACTAGAGGGTCATGCAACTTCCTGGTAGTAAAATACTTTCAAGAAATGGGGCCAGAGCTGGTCTGCAGAAGAAGGGACCATTGAGGGGAGTATGGACCAAGGTATCAAGGTATAGCTGGGACTCTATCACACTGGCCATTGGGCTCCCACATTGAATAAAGACCATAGAGGGTCAGACCTGTAAGGGAGGGTCTTCCTGGGGATGCAGCCTTGCAGTGTCCCTCTGGTTCCCTCTGTTGGCATAGCCCAACATTCCTCCAGCTCCAGCTTGCAAAGGGCAAAGAGGGGTGGGTTTGGAGCTGAGAGACAATACATTGATAACTAACAGTTATTTAATCCCTATGCTTTATGTTTTTTATCTGAAATCGAGGGATCATAATGTACCCCTCACGTGGAATTGTTATAAAAAGTAAATGGATGAATGCGTGCATGTGAGTGCTGAGGCCGGTGTCTAGCACAGTTAGCTATTTCGATTGCCTCTTATGTATTGCCTCACACCAGGTCCATGTCTCAAGCTGATATTGATAGAAAATAGAGACATTGCCTCTGTCTTCATGGAGCTTCATCTTTAGTACCATTAATTAGATGGTCAGATTTGAGATGCTTCCTAGGTAATATTTTAAGGATTAATACTATCTCAAGGCCTACCTTTAGAAATGTAAAAACTTCTAATTAGTATAACAATTTGGAGGGGAGTGGTCTACTTTTTAGCAGAGAAATATGCACGATATATTTCTGTTTGAGTTTTTAAATAAGAGAAATCAGTGCCAAATTTAATTTGTTCAGTGTTTATTAATTGCCTACTATGGGTCAGGCAGTGTTCTAGGCCCTGGGGATACTGAAGTGAATAAGACAAAACAACATTTCTGTTCTCATGCTGCTTGGATTCTAGGTGGGGAGCTAGGGGAGATAGGCAATAAACAAAATAAATGAAATATGTTATAAATAATCTGTGAAGAAAAGTAAAACTGGGAATGAGGATATACTTGATTCTTTTCCATCTTACTATTTAAAAAGGCACTGTGTGTGTGCATTGATGCCAGTTCCATGTATTCCTGTGGAAATCAGAAACACCAGGATCCCAGGAAAGTCTGTGTTAGGAATGTTTTCCTTTCTCCATAGAGATTTTGGTTAAATTGGAGTTAGGTTTTTTTTTTAACTCTTCCCTTTACACTGTGATAAACATGTTCACTTCTTCAGTCAATTCAGGGTTATTGTACCAAGCTGCACATATACTCAAGGAGTGATAAGGTTCTTTTCTGATTGGCAGTAGTCTTATTTCTCTGTTAAGTACCAGATTGGTGGTGATTATGTCTGATGAGTTGTTAAACCCAGTCTTTTTCACCTGTATGTCTGAATGTCAGCATCTTAAGTCTGAGGGGGACCGCTGTGTTAAATTACCTTTTAAGATTTTTCCTCTTTTAAATATTCATGGCACTGGCTGATCTCCAACCTATAAAGTGAAAGTAGAAGTTTTAAACTAATCTCTTCCATTTAATTCCCCCATTCCAAAGACTTTCGAAATAGGTCTGAAAATTATAAGAACCACAAATTTTAAAAATGTTAGTTTGATATGTCTGAAATTAATGTTTTAATTTATTCACCACGGAATGTCTTTATACATCACTGTTTTCTGTAATTTATACCATACTGTCTCCTCAAGTTAATCTGTGAAGCATGGTTAAATTATGCCTAAGAAGGAATATGAACACTGTCTACAATAAAGTGACAGGAAAAGGGATTAACCAGGAGTAATGGGACAAAATGTAAATAACACAAGTTGAAATAGAAGTTTCAGAAAAACTGTCAGGTATCTAAGATGCGTCTAACTAGAATAAGCTCTTGAAAAGACTACAAAACATTTAGAGAAAGTTTACTGGAAAAGGATTAGACAAAATTATAGAAAATATTTCTCTAGAGAACACATTCTAGTACATGTGGCCTAAAATGTGGACTAGATAATCCAATAGGTTTTTATTTTATTAAAAATATTTTTTTTCTTTATTGATTTTAGAGAGAGAGGAAGGGAGAGAGAGAGAAACATTGATGAGAGAGGACATCAGTTGTCCTCCTTTTGCATGCTCCCCACTGGGGATTAGGCCCACAACCTGGGCATGTGCCCTGACTGGAATCAAACTGGCGAACTCTTGGTGCATGGGTCGATGCTCAACCACTGATCCACACCAGCCGGGCAATCCAATAGGTTTTTGTGTGTCTCATATCTTCAGTTTTCAATCTTTTATTAATCATGTCAAAGAAGGTTTGAGATAAAGATCAAATGAGCAATTCTATAGAAGAGAGACAGATTTTGTCAAAATGATTTCATTTGTACCCTGGCCAGGTGGCTCAGTTGGCTGGAGCATTGTCTTGTACACCAATAGGTTGCTGTCTGATTCCTGGTCGGGGCACATACCTAGGTTGACTTCAATCCCTGGTTAGGGCTAAAGGCAACTGACCAATGTTTCTCTCTCACATTTGTTTCTCTCCCTTCCTCTATCTCTAAAATGAATAAAAACATATCTTCAGATGAGGATTTTAAAAAAAGGTAATTTCATTTGTTCTTTTTGCTAATGTGTATAACATGCTGACAGCAGTTTTATTCATTTTACCATGGCTAATTTAATGCTGGTGAAGGGGGCCAAACTGATAGCTTGGAGACTGCAGTCTGTTCCACACTTCCCTGACCTGTACTTCAGTCTCATTCTAAAGGAGTCTGGGTGAGAACTATAAACAGCATGATGGTTTCTCTGTGATTCAGTTTTCTTTGACTTTTGAGATTAATAATGCAATACTAGTGTTCTTAAACATTAGCATTTAGTTTGCATTCATTAATTCACTGAAACACCTACCTGTGTATAGAGCACTGGTTTCTAGGTTTTAGGCCCTGTAGGAAATACAGATCTCTGAGATACAGCTCCTGCCTTCAGTGACTGTACAGTTTGGTTAACTGCTAAAATGAGAAAGAGCTGTTGTCTTCACATGGACCATCGCTTCTAAAACACTAAATGAAAATGGGAGTTGGAGTTCAGATGGATATGTGGGATAGGGAGAGGGTTAATGCAGGAGGAGATTGCCAGATTGGGTGGGTATAGGTTTATTTCCATCTAGGATGCTCAGTGGACTTGTTTTTACTCTTGTGTTAGAGTTTCCAGAGAAACAGAACCAATAGGAGAGATACAGACATAGATGTAGATGTAGAGATAGACAGATGTAGACATAGATATAGACAAAGATCTACATAAAGAGATTCATTTGAGGAAATCTCATGATTACAGAGGCTGAGAAGTCCCACGGTCTGTTTCTGCAAGCTGGAGCCCCAGGAGAGCTGTTGGTGTAATCCAGTCTGAGTTGGAAGGCCTGAGAACCAAAGGAGAGGATGGTGTCAGTCCTAGTGCAAGGGAAGAAGACCAGTGTCCCAGCTCAAGCAGGCAAGGTAGGAAGCAAAGGGGTGAATTCCTCCTTCCTCTGCCTTTTTGTTCTATTCAGCCCTTCAGTGGGTTGGATGATGCCAACCCACATTGTGGAGGGCCATTTACTGAGTCCACTGATTCAACTGCTGATCTCATCTGAAGTAACATTTAATCTGGGTGCCCCATGGCCAGTCAAGTAGACACATAACATTTAACCATCACCACTCTGATGACACATTTTAGCAGAATAACATTCCTTTCAAACATAGAGCTCAAAGTGGGAAATAATTTTTGGACTTGTCCAGAGAAGGCACAAGCAGGACAGTTGTATCTGTGACTGCTGGGCCTTCATTCCAGAACCTCAGCTGATCTCATTCATCTGAGTTGCTCCAGGGGCCTCTCCCTGTTTCCCTGCTTTGTTCTCAGGGCAGCTCTGCTTTCACGCAGGCTGAGTCTCCTCATTGACCCTGCCTTCCTGTGAATCCCCAAACACTGGGGCAGCAGGGAATCTCTGTGGGCACAGGAGGCGGCTCAGCACTCATCACCCTCCATGGAGGCTGCTCCCCTCAACGGCATACGCCCTGTCCATCCCCCTGGGGTGACCAAAGGGTCTCATCTCATCTGCAGGATCCTTTGTAGTGGAACTTTGCTCAAGATTGCTTTGATGAGCCCTGTATCTTATGGGGGTAATGTAGTTTTAAAAAACAGCAAAGGAAAAATAAATAAATTGGATATCTGCTGTGAAACTTGGGTGATTTAGTGATTCATCTGGTTTTATAATTTGATTATTAGTAATTAATGATCTACATAGATACATTTTTGCACTTCTAATAATTTTTACTAATGTGACTGATATAGTTTATAATTACATAACAAATACATTGTAATTAGATTCCAGATTTTCTTTTAGAATAATGATTTAGTCCTATGAAGGATGTGACACTGCACTTGTTTCAGTCTCTGAAGAATTAGGGTGAGAGTCCTATTTTTCTTTTTTTTATGAGAATGATCAAGATTGAAGATAAGAAAGTGAGAATTAGCCAGATTAGACTGTATTTATCACTTTAGATTTTCACTTTTCTACTCAGTCTATATTAGTGTTTTTCAAGAAAAAGAATCATGAGCTTTTCTAACTAACTAATTTATTTTAAAACTATAGTTGACATACAATATTCTACTATTATCAGGTGTACAACATAGTGGTTAGACACTTCTGTACCTTATGAAGTGGTCACCAAGGTAAGTCTAGTACCCATCTGTCACCATACATAGTTATTATAATCTTACTGACTACATTACCTATGTTGTACTTTACATCCTCATAACTTTTTTGGGGGGAGGGGGGCACTTTGGCTGATGCCTCCCCTCACCCCTCTTCAAGTTTTTCAGGTAGTGTAGTTCTATTTTATTGTAGTATCTTTGATTTATGTTTTTTCAATTTGGCCATGCAGATTTCCTTCAGAGTTTGAAACATTCCTTTCAACATTTTGCTTTGAAATTCCCAAATTTCTTTCCAGGAACTGAGAACACATTTGAGCTCATCTATACAGGGTATGCTGACAAGTAAACTTCCATGTGGCTATAGAACCATAGATTCTTCAAGGACAAGGTGACTGGGTCTCTGTCTGTAGAAAATCAATAGAACACTTTAGCTACTTAAGCTTCTTAATGCTCCAGACTGCTTCTGTCTCATCCTGCTGTTTCAGAGACTGCTGGGGATGGGGGAGGAGGGTGTCAATTGGGAAACAAATGAATAAATAAAAACTTAAAAAAAGTGAATGCTTTTAAAAAAATATGTTTTTATTGAGTTTTGAGAGAGAAAATCATTGATGAGAGAGAAACATCAATATCGATCAACTGCTTCCTGCACACCCCTTACTGGGGTTCAAGTCCAAAACCCAGGCATGTGTCCTGACCCAGAATCAAATTGGTGACCTCTTGGTGCCTGGGTCAATGCTTAACCACTGTACCACACCAGTTGGACAGGGGTTGGGGATACAGGAAGGAGTGGTTGACTTTCATTACTAGGTTCTTGTCAATGTCTGGAGCTTTTAACTTCCTTCTCAGCCTAGAAAAGTGGTGCTGAGGTATAAGATAAAATGAGGAGGACCTCAGGAATAACATAGTTCCTCATGAAACTTTATGCATACATTTATTATTATTATTTTAAAATATGTTTTTATTGATTTTTGGAGAACAAAGAACAAGGAGAAAGAGAGACATTGATCAGTAACCTTTAGTTGCCTCCCACTGGTGACCCTTCGGTGCATGGGATGATGCTCAGCCAACTGAACTACACCTGCCAGGGCTTTATGCATCCATTGAAATCAATACCATTTACGCAGATCCCAGCAGGGCTGCAGCAACATATATCAGTAATATGTGATCCTTGAGCTGTTCATCTGGACTTTATAGCTAGGTCATGTTGTACCTCATGATGTCCTAGCAGTATATCTGGTTAAGATTACCCATCCTACTACTCCTATTAAGTGGAATGTATTTTGCTGGTAAGATGTTGGTGTGACAAGAGGAAAATTAATATTTGAGGATGCACAGCCTTCCCCCCTCCTCACCTTGAACAGGAGAGTTCTGTCTTTACCTGCACCGATTCCCTGGTCCCAGCATTGCATGGGACCGGGTTCATGGAAGAGGGAAGGAAGTAAATGCAGCCAAGGCCAGTATGATTGATCTCAAAAAGTGGCTAGATGACAAAAGAAGGGATTCAGAAGATGAGAGAGGTAGAGCAGAAAAAGAACAAGGTCATGTGCGTATGGAAGGGGTCATGTGGGGTGGAGGAGTTGGGAGGAATATGTAGAGAAAGAAGGGGGCCTTGAGGCAGTGTTCCTGGGGGGGGGGGGGAGGACAGTGACATATCAGAGAGGAGAAAGGAAAAGATTTTCAAGAAGTTTTGCTCTAGGTTATAAGATTTGTCTTACATATTTTTCAGACACTGTGGTTAATATTTATATTTATCTAAAGACTGTTTTTGCTGTCACGTGATGTTTCCTCTTAATGTGAATAATCCTGAGATATGTCTACATATCTACATAAACTAGCTTATGACATGTACACAAAGTAAGGGAAGGAGGAAAAGCAGGGAAGTAAGAACCCATTAAATTCTGACCCAGTGTTGGGCAACAAAACTGCAAAAGTAGTACCTCATTTATTCTATCGTTATAACATTTCATGGGAAGAGTGAAAACAGTTATTCCCAACAGGAACATTAAAAAGCCAACATTATCTAGTCATGTCTTCATGACATTATGTATTGATTTCCTCTTTTCCCTCATATAGTTAAATATTCAGGGGCGGGCAAACGTAGGTTTAAAGTTATGAGTACGTGAAACAGAGTTTATTCTTGTATTATTATTTATTAATTGTTGTATTATTTATGTATATTACAACTATAAACCTACTTTTGCCCACCCCTGTATGTGTGGCATGATGTGTGATCATGAGATAAATAAGTATGTTCTTGTCATGCAAAGTAGAACTTTTACTCCAGATTAATGGGAATTTTTTCTTCCAAAGTTGTCACCATGGGTGCTAAAATCATTGCATCTATGCATCAATGCATTGTATTTGAACATTGCATTGTTCAAAACATTGGGATCTCCTGTTTTGGAATAACCTTCAGAGTTTATGTCAAAATATTTATTATCCCCAGTAATGGAAAATCTTCATCCTTAAAGATGCATTTAACTTTTGGAAACAGCCAATGATAATTGGAACATATTTTGGTAGATAAAGTATGTAATCGTAGTAGATAACACTTTTGGATAAAAACAGGATAGGAAAATTAATGAAATTCTTTATAAAGTTCATCAACTGAAGATAATTGTACAAATAAGTCTTTCTATGTGATTTTTGAGCAATGAATTGAGTTGAATGAAACCAGAATCTTCCAAGAAAGTAGTTCAAAATAACCATTTGTTTAGAGCTGTGTTTATTTACTGATTCATTCAACATTAATTCAATGGACAGGCCTTGAGGACTCACCCAGTCTTAGACACTGGCTCTGAGAGTATCAGGTGAGAAGACTTAGTTCTAGTACTCAAGTTCTAATTCCATTGAGAAATGGATATCCGGATGCACAAGTAGAGTGCACACATGTTATCTGAAACCTTTGATGGGTTTTGGAATTCATAATATTTCACATTTTTCTCAAATTTATAGGATGGAGTTTTAGTTTTTATGGGCCCAGAACCATTACCCTAAAACCTAGTGCCTTAAGACAACAAAAACATTAATTTTTCTCATCAGTCTACATTTTGGTCAGGACTTGGTTGCACTAGCTTGTTCCACTCGCACCACAGTTGGGGCACCTGAATGCCCAGCACAGGCATCACCTGAAGGCATCACTCACCTGCATGTCAGGCAATTGATGCTGGTTGGCAATTGATGCTGGTTGGTGATTGATGCTGGTTGTTGGTTGAGACCTCTGTGGGCCAGAACACCGACATGTGGCCTCACCATGTGGCCAGGCTTCCTCACAATGTGGTGACTGGTTCCCAGGGCAAACATTTTGGGAGAGAAAGGAAGACAAGCATATCACCTTATATGATGTTGCCTTGGAAGTCATAAAAAAGTAATAAAAAGCAATGTCATTTTGCTGCTTTCTTCAAGGCAGTTATAAAGTCACTCCCAGTTTCAAGGGGCAAATCGACCTCACTTTTTGATGAGTAGTGCAAGTTGTAGAGCTTGTGGGACAAGAAATACTATAGTAGCCATGTTTGGAATGGGCCACAGGTGCTTGTGCTACAGTCACATGAGACCACCAGGGGCCTGGGGCTCCATTCTGCAATGGAACCCATTAGTACTCTGTAACAGATTTAGTGGACACTCACACAAAGTGGAATACATTCAAATTACAAATCTAAATAGTTCAGTTCTGTTTTTGCCATCAAATGAGTTCCCAAACTGTTTTCGTTTTTATAGATTTTTCTTGAATTCAGACTCCAGTATATGATTTGTGCTGTGTAGTATAATTTGTGCTAATGGAGGCTTTAGATCCCTGATCCAT